CCGTGTTCGGCGGGGGGTTTGTTGAATCTGTCTCAGCTCATGTTTTCTGTCGGCGGCGTGCTCATGCCTGTCTCGAGGGTGGTCGCCCTTCCCGCTGAAGTTGTCGGTCCTCAAAGCGGCGTCGAGCTCCTCCTCCGCCTTCTGTAGTGCGGCCGCCGCTTTGGTCTGAATGGGTGCGCGGTGGGCCGCCGTCTTCTCGCGGCATGCGCCAGCTCCTCTTCAGCTCTTTATGGTAGCGTTCTGCTTGCGTGACTAAATGCGGTTACTTATGTTGTTCCTTTTGCGCGGTCTCTTCGATTGCCCGAAGTTGTCGCTGTAGCTCCTGTAGTTTCGCTTCTGGTTTCCGCATCGCCTTGTTGTTATCCTAGTTGTGCTGGTAGAGGCTGTCGAACTCCTTTTCGGCATCGCGTTTGCGCTGTGCTTTGCGTCTTGAGCGACGCGTTGGTTGTCCTCCTTGAGGGGCCTGCGTTGCGCCCCAACGCCTCGGTTTTCACTTGTCTCCCCAGCCCTCGTGCGCCTCCTCGGTGCTGGTGTGGGATTCCCTTCTGGGTACCGTCTCTCTGCGCGACGTCTGCCTCGTCGTCTGCTGCGCCAACCTCGTTGCGCGCGTCGTCCCGCGCGAGGCTCATGCCCCTGTGGACGACGTGGAGCTCGTTGATCTTCGCGTAGAATGACCAGGTGTTGCTTGTCTTCTTCTTATTGCGCCTGAGTGTGCTCGTAGTGGTCATCCATACACGGTCTACTTGTTGCGGTCGATACCCCTGGCCTGTTGGTGAAGAGGCATGTCGTTGATGATCATGTTCAGATGAAGGTAGTCTGAGTTTCTGCCCTTGAAGTAGGCGGGCCAGCGGCTTTGGCCTTCATGATCGCGGCTGCTGCTCGTCGTTGCGCAGTTGCTTTGATGTGTTTGTCCGTTCCTCTTAATCAGTTTTGGGTCGTTGGGTGGTGCAGCCCAATGGTGCCTTCTGGTGGCATAAACCTTGCGCGTCGGGCATGCTGTTGATGATGCTGTTGAGGTGGTCTTTGTAGTCCTGGTTGGGCCCCCTTTGCTTCCTCTTGGCTACGATGTCCTCCTCTTGTGTTGGTTCAGGTTTGCCTGATCCTGCCTGTCGTTGCCCTGCTGGTGCTGTTTGGCGTCCTCGGTGCAGTCGTCGCGCGGCTTGGGGAAGCCGCCCTTGCCGCCGGTGCCCTCGGCGTTCTGGCCGGCGCCTTTTTCCCGGCAGTTGTCGGGGCGTTGGGTTGCCCATCGCGCGGCCGATTCGTCCTCCTTCCACCGTGCGAGGCCTGCGCCGATCGCGGATTTAATTGGGCGCTTTGGTGGCCCCCTGCTTGGCGTGCGGCTTGGGGTTGGCCCCCATGGCGGTGACGCGCTCGCTGGCCTGCTCGCGGTTGATGCACGTGGTGCCGCCAGTGCACGAGCTTGCTGTGGCCGTTGTGCAAGTTGGCGTGCGTCAAGCATTTGATTAGCATTGTGGAGCTGGTGCTGCGTATGCTGGTTCAGTAGCGTGCTGATTCGACTCGTAGTAAGAGTGCTGCTGCTCGTCGTTCTCGTTCTCGTTGATGCCGAACTGGGTTGGCGGCTGACGAAGTTGCGGTGGCGCCGACGTCACCTGCGCGGTGGGTGCTGGCATCGCCTGATGGAGCGATCAAGGAGCGATCGAGGAATGTAATGGGCAAGGGCGGCAGGGACATCCAGGTGAGGCTTGGGAGGTTCGATGTCTACCGCGGCCGCCTCCTTATGATTGCCCTCGTTCTCCCCCTGGCATGGACTCTATCCTTCTTCGTCGGCGTGGAGGAGGTTGGGGCGCTTCTCGAACACTTCGCAGTCGATCAGATTCAAAGGATAGCGTTCTTGGACATCCTTGGTAGCGCAGCTTACTCGGGGTTGGAGACCTACCTCCCTGGGAAGCTCGATTAAAAGAGGCTCGACGCGGTCGTGCCCAACTTCGTTCGGATTGTCCTGCATGACCGTCGACCTGAGTTTGACCCTCAGCGCCCACGGGCCAGTCTGAAATACATATCCGCATCCAAGCAACAAGTTTTACAAGCCCTCAGGATCACGGATTCCAGGGGCGAGCTGACGATGCGATGGTTACGCCAGTGGCCCAGTGCTAACGTTTTGTTCCTTATCCTGCCGACGGCAGGCAGGTCCTCACGGCGCCGTTTGGCATTTTAGACGGCTTCGAGGAAGACTGCGTTTTCCTTCGGGCTGGCACGATCGCCGCCACTGCGAATCCCTTGGCGAAACAGTTCGAACAGGACGTTGAGGCCCTGCAGTACTTGCACAGCGGCCCTGAGTTTCTTGCATCGCACTCGCTACGGGCGATCCTCACTGCACCGTCCGTGGGCGAAAAATTCTGCAGCTTCAATCCCTCGCTCCTCAGAGAGGCCCATGCCCTCGGAAGCTCAGCTAGTACTAGAAGAGCCCGGCGAGTTGTCCCTGAGGAACCGATGCGAGAATACGTGCGTGACCTGTCTTGCGGCGGGGAAAATGGGATGCGTGGAGTGGTTTGCTATGGCAAGGGGGCCCTCATTGCGCGCCAGCATCGTCGCCCGTCGCACAAGGTGGGGGCCCCTGCCCACATGCTTGCGAACACCTATCAGCTCTTGCACTGTATGTCGACTTTCAGACGCCAGGTTGCAGCTCGACGCCCTGGCGTGCAGTCGCTTCGAAGGGGAAGATGCCCGTTGCGATATGAGCCCGTGCGCCCCGCCTGTCCAGGAACCGGTGGACCTCCATTGCCCGTTCTGCGTTGACTTGGATTCGGCGCTCCTAGAGCTTGCGGAACGCATGCCACCCGATTCAAAAAGAGAGGAGCCCTTGGGGTCTTTGCCCGAACTGCAGAGACACATTCGGGAAGTGCGCGCCCCTCCAGCCCCTGTTTTCATTCGCGGATTTGGTAGAGAGGGCCATGGGCCAGGAGCCGCAGACGCGAGGCCGCGCCCTTCGCTCGCGCAGCGGAGAACGCGGAGGCCGACCAGCGCAACGGGGGGGCGCGCAGCGCCGGCAGCAGCGACCGCAGGAAGAGGGGGCCATTTGGCCGCAGCAGGCGGCGCGCGCGGCAGAGGGCGCGGCAGGGGCGGGACGGCGACAGCAACCTCGGCCAGGGCCCGACATGGGTCGCATCGGCAGGGTGCTCGACGGCGTCTTCGACCAAGCCGACCAGGCGTTCGGCCTCCAGAGGCAGGACCTCGCCAGGCTGCAGGGGGGCGTTCTCTCCCTGAAGATCACCCGGGCCTTCTTCCCAGCGGTTGCTCGAATGGCCCTCCGCAACACGTTGACCATCGATGCGCTGTAGGCGGCGATGCACCACCGGATGCACTTGGACGGGCCGCCCGATCTGCCAGGCCATGAGAGCCACGAGTCAGTTCTTCTTTCAAGAGGTCACCAGGCTTCGCAAAGAGAACGCCCAGGCCTTGCGAGAGAAGCAGAACGTGCCGGAATTGGACGCCCTCGGAGTTCCCTTCCCACATGGGGCGGTTCGCCAGCGGGGCGAGAGAGTCGGGGCGGCCAGCGCGAAGGCCATCGCCTTTGGCTTGGGCGGGGTCGAGGCAGACCCCGCGATCGCCAACGAGCAGACGCGAGAAGGCGCGCCACTGTTTCATCCCATCCCCGCGCGACAGGAAAGCGACGAAGATGCACCTGGCCGCAGATGCCACGGGGGCGACGCCATCGCTACTCGACTCCTCGAGGCAATTCTGCGCGGAGCTTCAGCGCCCCCCCCCCCCCAGTCGCGCAGCGAGAAGCCGATGCAGCTGATGTTGGACAGTATCGAGCAGGCGAACGTGCGATTGGCATGCCAGGTATTCCTTCGAGCCCTCTGCCGAGCGTTCCTGCGCTGGGGGCGCCTGCTGCGGGAATCATTGCAAGCGCAGAGAATTCGATTTCGACGTCGGGGGGGGCGCGACAGACTGGATCGAGGAAGATCACTCGGGTAGATGAGGAGGCTTTGCCTCATATCCCACCGCCTGTCTTTAGGAGAAGCTCAGTGACCAAGCCGCCTGCCCCTCCTCCTCTTCTTCCACCCTTATTCCTTTATCAAGAACTCCTCCCCGTCACCTGTCGCGCCCGTAAACGCGTCGGTGAGGCGGGCCGAACGTTTCTCGTCACACTCCCACCGCTTATGGTTTGTATATTGAAAATATGCAAAAGCTTCACGGACGGAGGGCGGGGCGTTTACCAAACGTGGTTCAAAATTTTGCGCCGCGCACATTCGTCCTCAAAGTTTTGCAAGCGCTTCACGGATGGAAGGCGGGGCGTTTTCCAAATTCGGTTTTAACTTCAGCGCCGCGCACATTCGTCTTGAAAGTTTGCAAGTGCTTCACGGATGGAAGGCGGGGCGTTTTCCAAATTCGGTTTTAACTTCAGCGCCGCGCACATTCGTCTTGAAAGTTTGCATGAGTTTCATGGGTGGAGGGCGGGTCGATTTCAAAATGTGGTTCTCGCCGTAGCGCCGCGCGTATGTGTCTTGGGAATTTACAGCAGTTTCAAACGGTTTTATGGCTGGCGCAGTAGAGACGGTATTTTGGCGCGGTGTGGGACTGTGACGGCGCAACAATTACGTTGATTCGCGGTGTTGAAGTCCCAGGAATGGTGTTATGGCACGATTTAGGACCGTCAAGAAGCAACAGTCATACAACGTGGATTCTCGCCGATGAAGTTCCAAGACTGGCGTTTTGGGACGGCTCCGGATTTTCAGACTGTCTTTTTTCCAAATGAACCATTGTCGGTACCGACGAATTCGGAGGGAGGGTGTATTGCAACATCGTTTCTGATTTTCGGGTTCACACTGGTCCTCTTCCTCCTCCTCCTCCTCCTCCTCCTCCTCCTCCTCCTTCTCTTTTCTTGCCCTCCTCATTCCCCCTGCCTCGTCCTCCGCCCCTCCTGCGTTCTTCTCCCACGAACCCCTCTGGCGCGCGCAGTGGCGAGCGGGGGGAGGAAGGGGGTGCAAGCGGGGGGCCGATCGGAGGCCGCAGCTCCCCCACGCGGCGCCGCAGAGGCCGCGGTCGCACAGGGCGAGGCCGCGGCAAACCTCTTCTGGGACTGCGGGCCTGCGCGCGCGCGCCACGGCCTCGCCCCCCGGGGGAGGGGCGGAGAACGGGAGGCGGGGAGGGGACGGTGAAGTGAGGGACAAGGGGCGAGGGAGAGGAGGGAGAGGTGGAGGAAGGGACGGGGGGGAGGAGGGGAGGTAGAGGTGGAGGGATGGGGTGGGAGGGGAGGGAGGGGGGAAAGGAGGGGGAGGGAAGGATTCGGCGGTGAGCCTGGGGGGGAAGTGAGAGTGGGCGGGGTTTCTCAGAAGGCGGCGGGGTTTCTCAGAAGCCCTCGCGCCTTCTGAGAAGGCCGGTAGGCCTTCCGAGCCTTCGGAGTAGGCCCGTCCACTCTGCATATGCCCCCCTGGGCTTGCCGCCGAGGGACGGGCGGGGGTAGGAGTGGGGGGGGAAGGGAGGAAGCAGGGAGGATTGCCAAACACACAAAAGGCTTGAGCAGTATCCAAGCACATGTTCAAGGATGCGGACCAGGGTTTTTGCATGTGTGGATCGGGTGGACCCTGCGTGCGGCCTGTGGACCGGGGGTGTCCGAAATTTGGCGGCGCCCGGATGTCATGACGAAGGACGCAGATGACCGCCGACCCAGTTTCTCAGTGGGGCTCTGTTCGCAAATCTACAGCCTTATTTTCTGAGCCATTTGTCACATGAACATGGTCACTGGAGTCGCCTGGGGCCATCAATTCTGGTCTGCTCATCGCCTCGATGGCGAGAACGGGGTGACACGGACTCGCTTGCCAACGCCATCCAGGCTTAGTCGCACAGCTAGACCCTGCTCTCCTGCCCGCGTCACGTCGGTCGCCCCGTCCTCGTTCGCCCCTCTCTGTCGTGGCCGTCCTGTCGCATCCCGTCGGTTGTCGTCGTTGGCGCCTTTTATATTATGTATTATTATATTATATAATGCAAGACTGCATTGGCGCTGCGCACCATGCACCTTGGTTCTTTAGAGTTTCGCAAAACTGGTTCTGCTAGAATCTTGACGGGGTGGGGAAGAGGAACATGAGGAGGATCAGGAGGAGGAGGGGGAGGAGGAGGAGGAGGAGGAGCAGAAGGAGCGAACAATACGAGGAGGAGGAGGAGGCTGAGAGGAGAAGGAGCCGAGAGTATACAGAGAAGGAGGAGGAACAGGAGGATAACGGGAAAGAGAAGGAGGGAGACGGGGAGAAGAAGGATGGAGGAAAAGAAATATTGGAAGGCTTCTGGGGGTACCATTGAAGCTCAGTGTTGGGAGCCCTGGTGTTATGTAGCGTTGTGGGGCCTCTTGGGAGTCTTCTTGGGGCCCTTTTGGATTCCTTTTAGGGCCCTGTTGGGGTTCTCTTGGGTCGTCTCGGGGCCCTTTTGGGCCGTCTTGGGGCGTCTTGGAGGCCGTTGGCCGTCGTGAGGCTCTCCTGGCGGCGTCTTGGGGCCCTCTTGGGGGTCTCTTTGGGCGCTCTTGGGGCTCTCTTGGACTCGTCTTGGAACCCTCTTGGGCTGTCTTGTGACTCTCTTGGATCGTTTTCGGGCTCTTTGGGGGGCCTCTTGGACTATCTTGGGGCGATCTTTGGAGCCTCTTGGGCCAGTTCGGGCTCATGTTGGCCCGAAACATGGAGAACCAGAAAACTTATGATAACCATGCACAAATCAATGACAAGTCCCTCTTGGGAAGCCTCTTGAGGCCTCTTGGGGCGTCTCGAGGCCCCCTTGGACGGTGTTGGGCGGTCTTGGGGTCTCTTGGAGCGCTCTTGGGCTGTCTTGGAGCGCTCGTGGACCCCTCTTGGGAGTATCTCGGGCCGTCTGGGGCGCCTCTGGGACCGCCCGAAAATCTCGGAGAAGGCCGAAACTCGTTTGGGTGGGGGGGGGCTCCTCCGTCCGGGGTCCGTCCGGGGTCCCCGGCCTTATAAAAGTATATATATAGGAATAAGCGGCGTCCGGGGCCCCGCGGCGGGCCCAGGGTCGCACACTTTTGCCAAATCCCCCCCCCCCCCCTCGTAACCGAATTTGCCCCCTGGGCTGCGGGGGCGGCCTTTTTTGGTATCCAGGGGCGCGTTTTCGGAGTCCTGGCACTTTTTTCCCTTCCCCGAGGCGTCCACCTAAATTTCTGCGGACGGCAAGCAAGAAGTCGCCAAGACGGCTCAAGAGCGCTCCAAGCCGCCCAAGATGGCCCCATGATCGGCCCAAGAGGCCCCCAAGAGGCCCCAAGGTCGCTCCGCGAGGACCTCCAAGAGAGCCCCAAGACGCCAACATCATTGATTTGCATGTTGTTTCCCATATGTTTTGCTTTCACGTTTACGAGCGGCCGACACTCCAAGACTGCCCCAGAAGCCTCCAACGTCGCCCCAAGAGGCCCCAAAGACGGCCCAAGAGGGCCGCATGACCGGCCCAAGAGACCCCCTGAGACGGCCCAAGAGGGCCTGAAGAGGGCCTGAAGACGGCTCCAAGATGGGCCCAAGAGAGGAAACGCGAACCGACCTTTCGAGCTTCCCGCCCCCAGGAGGCCCCAAGTGGCTCCAAGAGGCTCCAAAGAGGCCCCAAAGATGCTTAAGCGAGGTCCGACAAGCTCCACAACGCCCCCGTGGAGGCTTCAAACCTGCTTCCAAAAGGCCCCCCGGGGGGCATCCCACGATGTCGAGGCGGAGGGGAAGGAGGAGGAGGAGGAGAAGATGTAGGAGAAGAGAAGAAGGAGGAGGGAGAATTTGCATTAGGAAGGGGAGGAGGAATCTGTGCGGGGCCGGGATGCCGAGCATCACCCGTCAGAAGCGAGGGGCAGGACGGCGGAGGCAGGAGGGCGATTCGAAGGGTGGAGGAGGGAGGCAGTGGCCGGGGGCGGTCGGAAGGGAACGGGGGGGGAGGCCCAGGATCATGTCACTGTCGACGAGGAGGAGGAGAGAGGAGGGAGGAGGAGGAAGAGGAGGAGGAGGAGGAGGAGGAGGAGGAGGAGGAGGAGGAGGAGGAGGAGGAGGAGGAGGAGGAGGAGGAGGGAGGAGGACAATGAGGAGTCAGAGAGGGAGGCAGATCTGACTCAGGAAACTTGAACGGTGATGACGAGGATTAGCCGTAGAAGAGAGATGGTGCCAGGAACGAGGATGAGGGAGAAGGGAGCCCTCACGCCAGGAACGGCACCGCGAATTAGCAACAGGATGGGGATGCCGATGGTTATCCGTAAGAGGGGCACTGAGAACCCAACATTGACGTTGCTTCAAGCAATTTGCTTGGTGACGTGCCTGGTGCCGTGCCGTGGGCTGTGCAGCGTGCCGTGCCGAGTACCGTGCTGGTTGCCGCGCTGCCCGTCGGAAGAGGAGGGTGGGAAGACCGAGTCAAAAAGGCAAGGAGGGAGGAGGACAAAGGAGGAAAGAAGGCCCAGGACAACTTCACCGTCGAGCAGGGCATCATGATAATAATGCAATGCGAGCGTACATTCAGTCCCCTTCTGTTGTGGTTGCGCCGGGTACCCCGTCTTCTTTTTTCTTCAATGGGTTTGGGACCCTTTCGGGGCACCAGTAATCCAGGTGACCCCAGGGGGTCGTGCTTTCCCCTTAGGCAGCCCCCCCGAGCTTGGGAACCGACGCCAGGTGAGGGGGGGTGCTAAGGGGGGCACGGGCGCAGAGCGTTTAGAGGCCCCTACCCGTCTTCCCCACCCCCAGCAGCAGGTTCGACGAGAGCTGCGACACGGCAAGCATCGAGTGGACGGGTTGTAGGGGGACGCACGGGGCGGGCGCGTTTCCGGTGGGGGACGGCCGCGTCAAGCGCTCTGCGTTCGTGGGAGGGGGGCTGCGTTTCGGTTCTGGTCCCCCCCACCCGCCCATGGTTCATTCTTTTTCGATTGTTCCCGGATGAGGCTTTGCTGGCGGCCATGCGTTGCCCGTTCCGTCGCCGGCGACACCTCGCCTCCTTTAAAAGAGGCGCTCAAGAGGAGCACATATTGAAAAGCGAGGAGGTTGGTTGGTTCTCTTGGTTTCCGCTCGAGTCTCCTCTCTCTCTCTCTCTAATCTCCTCGGGTATCCCCCCGCTGCGTCCCGAGGTGTCCCCCCGGCCGCGAGACGCGGTCAATGGGGGGTGCCCAAGGGGCGTTCAACGTTGAAGGCGCGGTGTCCCGAGGCGCTCCCTTGGCCGCGAGATGCAGTCCCAGGGGGTTTGCCCGGGCATGGCGCGGTGTCCCGAGGCGCCCCCCCGGCCGCAAGACGCGGTCAAGGGGGGGTGCCCGGGCGGCGTTCAAGGTTGAAGGCGCGGTGTCCCGAGGCGCTCCCTTGGCCGCGAGACGCGGTCAAGGGGGGGCGGCCCGGGGAGCGCCTAAGGTTGAAGCCGCGGTGTCCTGAGGTGCCCCCCCGCCGAGAGACGCGGTCAAAAGGGGGGCCCTGGGTGGGCCCCGGGAGCGGTCAAGGTTGGAGCAGCGACGTCCTGAGGTGCCCCCGGACCGCGAGACGCGGTCAAACGGGTAGCATTTGGGGAATTGTGTCCTCAGGTGCCATTTGACCATGTGTATCATGTCGCGTGCGTCCCTGCAATCAAATCCATGTCCTGCTTAATCAGTCTCGTCGTTTTCTCGCCAAGGTCCAGAGGGGGGTGGAACGAAAAGCTCCACCGAGGCCCCCAACAGCGTTTGGCGGCCTCAACAATGCAGTATACACTCTTTAATGTTTTCTTCTTACGGCGGGCCCACGAGCCCGTACAGGCAGTCAAAGTGATAGTTTCAGGAGAGTCGAATATTGAGATCCGCTGCGCCAGAGATGTTTTCCTTGAATTTGGAATCGTCGAACACATCGAGCGCATCGAGGCTGCAGGGGCGGTGACGCTCCGTAGGCCCTTTTAAGACGGAGGCATACCGTTTTCCAACTCAGGCCCCCCCCCTCTTGCGCCTCCTCCCTCTTCCTCCCCCCTCCCCCCTTTCCGTCTGTACATGGAACACTGGCGCCCTCTTCACCACTGTGAAAACGAACTCTTGGCGTGCTCGGGACCGTTACCACCGTTACCGATCGCTCTGCAACACCAATGACATCATTACCGTACAAGAAACACATGG